TTAGTTGATAATGATGTTGATAATACCTGATAATAATGGTAATAGGACAATAATGGTGTTGACAATAATGTCTGTTCATGGACCATAGCAAATGTTTCCACTCTGGTGCAGAATGTTGATGGTGGTGGAGGCTGTGTGGGAGGTTGGTGTGGGTGGGTAGTCAAAGTATATGGAAACTACTTTCAGTTTAACTTTGCTGTGGATCTAAACTGCTCTAAAAAACTGTCTATTAATTTTAAAAAAGAAAAGACATGTTCAAATAGCTAACATATAAACATAGGGAGCTACAAATCACATTTCTAGCTTCCCTTGAAAAATTAGTTCTGCTGGTTCTAGCCCCAATCAGGGAGAGATGCACATGGCTGGATCTCACCTGGGGACGGTCCTCACCTGGCTGTCTTATTGTTTTCCATATATGACCTGCCTGGCCCTTGGAAGCATTAGGGCTTGAGACTCAGTCTAGATCAGTGAGTCTCAAGTGGGGGTAAGTGTGTCCCCCCGCAGGGACACCAGCAATGCCTGAGGACATTTTTTTTTCACTTTTTTCTTTTTTTTATGGCCCCACCACATGGCTTGTGGGACCTTAGTTCCCCGACCAGGGATTGAACCCAGGCCCTCAGCAGTGAGAGCGCAGAGTCCCAACAACTGGACTGCCAGGAAATTCCCTGGGGACATTTTTGTTTGTCACAGCTGGGGTATGCTCATGGCATCTAGTGGGTTGAGGCCAGGGATGCTGCAAAACATCCTGAAATTCACAGGACGGCCCCTGCCACAGAGAATAATGATCTGTCTCTGTCATTAGTGTTGAGGTTGGGAAACACTGGTGCAGAGCTGGTTCTCATCTGGGGAACTTTAAAAAATACTGATGATGGTACCACCCCTGCGATTCTGATTCTAATGATAAAGGGGTGCTACCTGGACAACAAGAGTCTTAAAAGCTCCCCAGGTGACTCTAATGTGTAGCTATACTTGAGAACCACTGGTCTGGAAGGCTCTTTGCATGGGTCAGGGCTTAAGGTAGCCAGGATTGTCATTGAATCATTCATTCACTCATTCCTTCAATCATGCCGCCAGCATCCACGACTTCTTTCTTTCTTCTTGCATAGAGCTAAGGGTCCTAGAGGTGAGCCAGACCTGGACCTCCCTTTCCTATTAAGGAGCTCCAGCCTCTTTTAGCCCATAATTTCTCAAACATTAGTATGCTTACAGGGATCTTGTTCAAATGCAGAGTCTGTTTTAGCAGGTCTTGGTGGGGAGCCTGGCATTCTGCATTTCTTAACCAGGGGCCACAGATGCTGTTCACCTGAGGACCACACTTTGTGCTTCATCCTCATTCAGGATTCTCACAAAAGCCTGACTCAGAAAATGCCTGCATCCTGGAAAACACATTGCCCCATGCCTTACAAATAATTCTACTACCTCTCACAAGTGCCTTAGATCTGACTACTGACAAAGTTCTCAATAGATCTTCACAATAGCCAGGAAAGGGAGTCCAGGATTATTTTACCAATGAACCCATTTCACAGATGAGCAAACTGAAGCTCATGTAAGCAAAGCAACCAGCCTGGTGTTTACTCACTGTGAGAAGCAGAACTGACTCCCAATTTGAAGATTATTCCTTAAAGCCAGCTTGGCTCTCAGGTTCACAAAATTCTTAATTTCTGTACAAGGGGTCACACATATTCTGTAACTGGTCCTGCAATCAGCACACAGATTCTGAGAAGAAACTTTTAGAAAGGCTTAGCAGGAATACCAAACTGGGGGACTAACAGCTAAGTCCAATGCCTCCCTTTTCTAAGGGTAGGCAAGTACCCCAGAGCAATTGCAGTGATTCTTGGGATCAAGGAGACCGGGGTTCGAATTCCAAGGCTGTCATCTACCAGCCCTGGGACCGAGGCTCATTGTGTATGTAAATTAGCTTAGCCTCTATTTCCTATTTCCCCAGTTATGAAAGGAGGGAGTTGAATGTTGATCAGACCAGGGGGTTCTCAACCTTGACAGCATATAGCATCCTTGGGGGAGGGGAGCTTGAAACACGAGCATGCCAGGGCCCTATCCCAGATATTCTGATTCTATTGGTCTGGACTGGAGATGAGATGGGGGTTTAAGAACCCCCAGGAGCCTCTAATGTGCTGCTGGGGTTCAGAACCACTGAACCCTTTCAGCCTTCAGGAACCTTCAGGCTGCAGTCCTTCAAGTTCAGGTGATTTACTCTGTGACTCCAGCAGCAATATCCCAACCCCTCTGCATGCTCCCAGCCAGCCCAGAGACCTCTTTCCTTCCGAGACTTGTGTCCTACATCCCTACTGGGCTGCTGCCCTTCACAATTTTCGATTTCCCAATGTGTGCTAGGTTCTGTACTTGCCCAGGGGACCGGCCTGAGCCACCAGGAATTCATCTGCAGACAGGAAACACAGCCCCATGTTCAGGCTAAGATAATACAAAGCTTATTTTGCTTTGCAAAGTAACTGCTTTTCAGAAGAGCCTTTAAAGAAATAGACTCTGGCATGTGGACGAGCTAAAATAAAATGGAACAAAAACACTTGCCAGGCAGAGTTTGATCTTATTTGCATAAGACTGTGCATTTACATCCGTAACTACAGGGGTATAAATGCAGAAAAGTGAGGTCTGGAATGGTGGCCACCATGTCAACTGTAACTATCCCCTTTTTCCTTTGGGCTTTTCAGTTCGTTTTTCTTTCTTTTTAAAATATACACAAGCACCTATTTTTATCATCTTTAAAAAAGCTACTTCCAGAGAATATAGTGATAATTTACATCTAAGTGGGAGAAAAGATCACAAAGTTTCGGGTGATTGGTCTTTTCTAAAGCTAAATTCTACTGTCCATTTAGTTTGCTGGTGTGCTAGAATTATTAAAATACTAGGAGACGAACAAGAAACACTCCCAGAACCTTGCATAAAAATAGAATGCATTCTAAGGAAGCCATTTACCATCATTTAAAAAAATCGTTCAAAAAAAAAAAAAAAAACAATCCAAGAAGCTGGGTTTTCCCCCCAGCGATTCTCCATGAGGGTCTGGAGCTGGTGGGAGGAGGCTAACCCCAAATCATCCTGCCCTAGGGCCAGTACTGCTCAGTAAGTGAAAAGGATCCGGGCCAGACCTGGAAGAATTCCCTCTGGGCTCCGAGATCCAGCAGAGCCTTGGCCCAGGGAAAGGGAGAGGAGGTTGCCCCAGGGCCACAGCGGGGAAGGGGCACCGGTGTCACTTTCTCTGAACCTGATCACAGCGCCCAGCACTGCCGGCCCTTATATAGACACTCAGCTGCCGTTCTGGCTCCCCGCTCCAAGGGCAAGGAGGGAGGTCACGGCTGCGGGCAGCTAGGACGTCTGGCCAGGCCAGCAGAGCCGACCCGCCTGCGCCCTCACCACGACCTACGCCCCTCGCCCAAGTTCCTGCGACCGTACCCTGCTCGGACCCCTGACCTTCTCTCCCTGCATCCTCCCCAGCACCTGTTCCCTCTCCTCTGAGCAATCACATTCCTTTCCTTTCCTCCAGCCTGCATCTGCTTCCCCTCCCCCAGCGCCACAATCTCAGGAGCTTCTCTCCTTGCCCTCTCTCTTGTCTCTCCCCTCTGTCCGGCCCCGTATGGGAGAACCCCATGATCCCAGCACCTGCCTGTTTCCCCAAACCGGTCCCTGGGACTGTTCCCCCACGATTCAGGCCTTTCCCCTTCTCCAGACCCCTGGGTAAACCGCCGTCCCTCGCCCCGGAATGCCAGTCCTCTCCAGCCTCCGGCCCTGGCTCACCTGGCTCATACTTGAGGTAGAGAATGGAGACGATGAAGTAGCTAAGGTCGAAGACAGGAAAGAGGGGCACCCGCGAGAAGCTGAGCGCAAGCTCGCCCAGGCTCAGCGCCGAGAGCAGCTCCATGGCGCCCGCCGGGTCCCACCCCAGCCCCCGGCCCGGTGAGTCCAGTCGCCTGCAACTGCGCCCCCCCCCCCCGCTGGACCCGCCCCCGCCCGCCAGGCGCCGCCCCCAACCCTGCCCCCGCGGGAGAGGAGGGGCGACCGCTGGCTGGCCTTGGGGCGGGTGGTGGGACCCTCCAGTCCCATGGAGGCCGGTCGGTCCAATGTCCCACACTGTCCCTCGGGCCATCACGACCCCATTCAGCCCAGCCAGGCGGGGTGCGGGGTCCCCGTGGAGTGTGAGTTGGACAGGGGATCTGTCCTTGGAGGGGGGCGGGATCCGTTCCTCACGGAGCCCACCCAGGCGGGACGGACCAATCAGGACCGCGTTCCTGTGGGGCTGATCAGGACCCAAGTCCTCTGTGGAGCCCTTGGATCCGGACCTCCATCCCCCGTGGGACCAGATCAGTTGTGAACCACATACTCCCGTGCCCCATAGGGTCCATTCGGTCAGGACCCCCGTCCTCTATCGAGCTGTCATGATCCCAGCCCTCTGTAAATCATGACTTCTGTGCCGCGCAAGGAATCCCGTCCTCCTAGGAAACCGCTCAGTCGGGACCCCCGCCCCGGGTAGTGCCTGCCTAGTGGGGATCCCGCCTTCCGTGGGGCCCAGGAGGAGGCCCTTTTGGAATGCAACAGTCGGGGCGTCCATGCCCGGTAGAGCCCACTGCATCAGGACTCATTCCCCTATGCATTTCAGTGATCAGGGCGCACCGTTTCTCTAGAAGCCGCATCCGAGAGCCCAGCCCAGCAGAAGGCTGGTGCTCTGGCTGGCTGGTCTCTCACGCATGCGGGAAAGGCTTCCAATCCGTTACCCAACCCTGCCCCCAGATGGCTCCGCCCCTGGGTGACGTCATGATGCCGCCCCGCCCTTTCTTGGTTACCCTCCCCAGGCCTTCCTAGCAAGGAGCGGCGCTCGCTCTTTCTTTAGGGGGCTTGGCCTGCAGAAGGCGGGACCCTGCCTGCCTTGGTCTTTGATTGGTCCAGCCCTCTCTAGAGCTGCTTCGAGATTGGTCGGCTCGTGTTCCTCTCCCCTCCCTTCCTGAGGCTTCCGCTTCCTGTTCGGACGGACGCTCCGGCAGTAACAATGATCGGGGACATCCTGCTGTTTGGGTAATTAGGGGGACCAGAGGATGGGACGTGAGGGCCCGACAGGGTGGGGGCGGTCCAGGTAACCGCATTCTCCCTCTGCAGGACGCTGTTGATGAACGCCGGGGCGGTGCTCAACTTTAAGCTGTGAGTAGGCCGCGTTGGACCGTGGCTCCATCCGGGGGACCCGTAGCCCCGCCTTCGCGAGCGTGAGCCCGGCCTACGCCGCCGGCCCCGCCCCCAGGTCCCAGCCCCAAGTTCCGCCTCCAACCGGGTCCATCCTTTTGTGACTCTCCGCGCCGCCGAGATTTGAACTCCGGACTCTCAGTTCCCCCGGGATCCCTCTGCTCGCACCCATGAGAGCCTCAGACCCATCCCCCGAGAATCTCTTAGCCCTAATCTGTACCCGCAGCCCCGCAGCTGGCTGCCTCGAACCACTCTCTCCACCCCGTCGGTGGCTGCAGGCATGGCTGTGATTGGCTGGGCAAGGGGTGGCCCAGGGAACATCACTGAACTGCGCAAAAGAGGTCACACAGCAAACCAACGGTAGGGCTAGAGCTCCCCTCTGAGCTGGGGATCAGGGCCCGGGGACTAAGTGGTCTGTTTGTCCTATTGAAAGTGGTCGCTGTCTGCTTCTGTTTGTAGGAAAAAGAAGGACACGCAAGGCTTTGGGGAGGAGTCGAGGGAGCCCAGCACAGGTAAGGTCTCCTTTCTGTACTCTGGAATTGGTACATTTCAGAGAGGACAGTTCTTTTTCACCAGTTTTCTTTTAGGGGGGTGTGTGTGTGTGTGTGTGTGTGTGTGTGCGCGCGCGCGCGCGCGTGCCTGAGTTTGTGCTGTTCCTTCTACCCACCTCTGTCATCCACTGCTTTCTCCTACCAGACCTCCCTGCGTAGGTCAGCACTCATATCACTTCTTACAGTTATAATTTTCTTTTATGTATGCTGTCATCTGGCTAATATCTAGCTCTCACACTTGACCTTAAGCTCCAGAGAAGAGGCTCCAGCTTGTTTTGGCTCATCTGTGTCCTTGCAGTTCCAGCATTCCAGCATGAATGAATGAATGAGCGAATGAATGAACAGCCTATTGTTTCCAGAATGCTGTAGACCTGTTTGTTTAATTTTGAATTAGATTAGCTTTCAGATAAATCAGGAGATGTCATATAAAGATTCAGATGTATGATTTTTCAAGAAAAATTGGAATATTCTACAACTTGGGGTTCAAGCGACCTTTTGACACCTGTTGAATAGGAGTTGAGAAGCAGGACCCCACTGAAACCGGGCCTGTGGCCTCTACCTCATCCCAGCCCCTGCCCCCTTTTCTTTGTATCATTTCACATGACTGGCCCCTGGAGGCCCTAGAATATATACTTCCTGCTAAATTGACACATGTGACTATTTGGAGTCTAATGGGACCTGTACGTGACTACTGTATCCATTCATTCATTCATTCACCAAACATTTATTGAATACCTATTATGTACCAGCCACTGTGCTAGATGCTGGGGACACAGCAGGGAACAAGACAGAAGTAATTCCTGCCTTTGGGTTGTACTCCTATGGGGTGGGACAAACAGTCCCTAAACAAGGAACACACAGTGAAGAAGATGTCGGGAGGATAGCAATGGGGTTGCTGCTCTGGCTGGGCTGTGTGGAGGGAAGGCCCTCTGAGGAGGTGGCAGCCAAGGTGGTGGGTGCTATGATGGAGCATTGCATGAGGACTATAGGAACCCTAAGGGGCAGCGAATCTGAAGGCAGTCTGACAGCTCCCCTTTACTGGGGGCCTGCCAGGTGGTGGCTGCCTTGTTAGGTACTTCCTATGGGTGTTTCACTCCACCTCCATTCCTAAAAGGTAAGGAGCATTTTCCCATTTTACAGATGAGGAAACTCAGGCTCAGAGATGTGGCTCAACTTGTTTGTGGCCACACAGCAAATCAGCGACAGCATTGGGATTTGAGCCTGGGTTTTTCTGACCTCAGAGGTTGTCCTCTCAATCACTAGACTGTCCTTCTGTTCATTCATGCATTCATTCAGCAGCTGTATACGTTGCTCACCCACTACGTGGAAGGCACTATTCCAGCCCCTGGGGATGTGATCTATAGATCTGAGTTGGAGCTATGGTAGGTGGGAAATTGGCCACGTGGGCTCGAAAGTGGCGGGAGCATTGGTGACAAGGATAGTCAGAACGGTGGCTTCCCTCTGATCGGGGGCTCCCTGCTAGGCTCCTTCAAACTAGGACTCTGTGTTGGCAGTTGCCCCTGTGGATCATGCTCCTCTCCCTCCATCCTCTGCCTGGCTGACCCCTAATATCACAGTGGCTTCATTTATTGAGAGTGTCCTATATATCAGGCACCGTACTGCAGCCTTCGCAGTCCCCCATCATCCCCATTTACACAGGAGGAAACTGGGGCATGTGTAGGCCCAGGTCACTTGTGTGGAAGGTCAGTAAACTCCAGCCCACGTTTTTTTTGGCTGCATTGGGTCTTCGTTGCTGTGCGCTGGCTTTCTCTAGTTACGGGAAGCCGGGACTACTCTTCATTGCAGTGTGTGGGCTTCTCAATGCGGTGGCTTCTCTTGTTGTGGAGCATGGGCTCTAGGCGTGTGGGCTTTAGAGCACAGCCTCAGTAGTCATGGCGCATGGGCTTAGTTGCTCCATGGCATGTGGGATCTTCCTGGACCAGGGATCAAACCCGTGTCCCCTGCATTGGCAGGCAGATTCTTAATCACTGCACCACCAGGGAAGTCCCCAGCTCACGTTTAAGGTTGGAGTTCACACACTTTCCCAGTGAGTCTTCTTCTGACCCCACCTGCCTCCCGATGCATGCCAGGTTGGGTTCCCCCATTACAGCTCCCATGGCACTTGTCCTAGTGAATAATCAGGTGTGTGGTTACGTGCTTTTATATTGGTATTTGTCCTCCCTGTGAGCTCCTTAAGGCAGGGGCACGTGTCTCATTCCTTCCTGTATCCCCTGCACTCAGCTACTCCGTGGGATGAGTAGCCTTTAGTCAGCGTTTGTTCATGGTAAGAGAGGCCATTTTTGTGATCCTGGGCTCAGAGAAGGGCCTTGCCAAGCAGTGCCTTGCAGACATTCTGGGAACGGATCTGTCTGACATTTGCAGTCTGTGCTGGGCCAACACTTATATAGGCTATGCTACGTGTTGCTAACCCGGTGGCTTGGACAACACTGGACTTGTCTAAACCATGTAGAGCAACTTGTGCTCTTCATGTGCTTGGATGGTGCAGCAGTGCCAGGTGGCGGTCATGTTGGGTTGCTGTGGAAGTTTCTGAGCTTCCCAGTGTTCCAGCTCTGGTCTGTGGATGACACTTTGGGTAACACCCTTGTAGATCATGTAATCTGGATCCATTCATTTCATTCTGGAGGCCTCAAGAGGCTGGGCAATCAATTCAAAACCCCAGAGGAAGGTCCTGGAACCCGAGTCTCTAGAGTCTTTTTTTGTTTTTAATTAATTAATTAATTGCTGCGTTGGGTCTTCGTTACTGCACCCAGGCTTTCTCTAGTTGCGGCGGGGGTGGGTACTCTTCGTTGCAGTGTGTGGGCTTCTCATTGTGGTGGCTTCTCTTGTTGCAGAACACGGGCTGTAGGTGCATGGGCTCCGTAGTTGTGGTTTGCGGGCTCTAGAGTGCAGGCTCAGTATTTGTGGCACACGGGCTCAGTTGCTCCACGGCATGTGGGATCTTCCCCGACCAGGGCACGAACCCGTGTCCCCTGCATTGGCAGGCAGATTCTTAACCACTGTGCCACCAGGGAAGTCCCTCTGGAGTCTTAATGTACCAAATTCCCTCTTCTTGGAGTGGTTTCTGTTCCTTGGCATCAGAGGGGACTAGAGCTGGTCGTCACCAAAGCAGAACTCCCATTTTGCTTGCCTGAATTAGTATGCTTTTTCAGTTGTAAACTCTGAAAACCAGCTCAAAGTGGTTAAAGCAAATTGAAACATCGAAGCGTAGAATGGTCCTCGGGCACACGTGGATTCAGGGCTTAAACTGGCTCTCCAGCTTGTGACCCTCCCCAACTCTCTTTTCCTCCTGATTGGTTTTACTATCAGGCTGGCTTGTGTTGACAAAGATGACCCTAGAGCAGGGCTTGGCACATTTTTCTGTAGAAGGCCAGATGATAAATAGTTTAGGCTTTGTGGGCCATAGAGTCTCTGGTGCAACAGTTCACCTCTGTAAGTTGAAAGTAGTCATGGATAATATGTAAATGAGTGGGCATAGCTGTATTTTAATAAAACTTTATGGCTGTTGAAATTTGAGTTTCATGTAATTTTTGTGGCTCACAAAATAATTTGTTGGCTTTTTTTTTTAACCATTAAAAAGTATAAAAAACATTCTTCATTCATGGGCTATACAGAAATAGGTGGCAGAGGCCAGCTTTGGCCTACAGGCCATGGTTTGCACCCTGCCTTAGAGGACTGGGCTTCCATCTTTGCAGTCCAGCTAGCCTGGCAGAAAGCAAGTGCCTCTTTCCTGGTAGTTCGGGCAAAAGTCCCAGGGCTGGCTCTCATTGGACAGACTGGGGTCACGTGCCCTTCCCTGAGCCAGTCAGAGGCTGAGTGCTTGGTCCTCTCAGGGGGTTGGTCAGTGGCAGCTATAGCCTGAGTGCTCAGGGCTGGGGAACAGAGGTGGCCCAAATGAAAAGCCATGCTGCCATTGGAACATGGGGGCAGTGGGTGTGGGGTGGGCAGAAGCACACTGCAGCCGTGACAACAGTAATGTTAGCACTGCTTGTGAAAATGCTTTCTGACCTTCCAGGTGACAACATCCGGGAGTTCTTGCTGAGCCTCAGATATTTTCGAATCTTCATCGCCCTATGGAATGTCTTCATGATGTTCTGCATGATCGTGTAAGTCCAGCTCGCCTCTCTCCTTCATTGTCATTATCCTCAGGGTCGCTCTCCAGAATGAACCTCTGATGGTCGTTTTCTGTCCTCCCAGTCTGCACTTTTGTGTCATGCTTTCTGCTTTCAAAGTAAGAACTCTCCACACTAGAGAGGAAACTGGGGTCTGAAGGAATTAAACTATGTCACCGCAGTCCAGGCTGGAGCTTCGATTGGAACATGGCGTTCTTCAAGTCCTGGCTGTGCCTGGTGCCTCAGCAGAGGCTGCCAAGAGATGCCTTCCCCTGAGCCCATGGCTCCATCACCTCTCGCCGACTCTGTTGATTGTGCTTAGCCTATACTTGGCGTTGGCCAAAGTGGAAAATACGTCTTGAAAGGCCAGCGTGCTGCTGGGTCTTGCTCCCAGCCTGCTGGAAGCCAGCAGGAGTGCATTCAGGCTTTATTTCTGCTTTTTATGCCTATTTTATTTTCTCATTAGACTAAAAATATCCAATTGGATTGGTTTTCCTTTCAGTGTCAAGACCATGCTGTTAGTGAATTATGAGACTCATAGTAAACAGACTCAGGGGAAAAAAACAAGGAGAACCTGGGGTTCTGGGCCAGGCTGTGCCCATCTCCATGTGCTTCCCCTAAAGAGGAAGAGAGTGAAAAGTTGGCTGTCTTGAGTCATTGAGATGCTGAATTTGGGGTTGCTGTGTGGTCCTTCTGCCAGCCCAGTGGCTGTTTGAGGGGATGATTCCAGGACTTAGGAGATCGGGGGAGGAGGGGTTTCTGTGCTGCTGGAGAGTATTTTAGAGCCCAGAATGAGGGCTGTAGTGTATGCCCAGAGAGACCCTCTTTGGGAGCTCAGATGAGGCCTGCCTAGGTACAGAGAGGGCTCATGAAGAGATCAAGGAATTTGCAGAAGAGTGTACGAAGTATAACTAGCTGTCACAGGAAGTAGAAGTGTTGGGGGGCTCCTCCAGCCTTTGTCTCTCTAGATTCCCACCTATCCATTCATTCATTTATTTATTCAAAACTGTCTTTTGAGGGCTGTGCTCTGAGATTACAGTTGAGACCGAAACAGCCATAGTCCCTGCCTTCAGCGAATGCACAGAATAACAGGGATGTAAAATAAACAAATAGGGGGAAAAATCGGTTGTGAGATGGAGAATTGGAAGGGGGCTCCCAGTTTAGGAGGGTCAGGGAGAGGTCCTCTGAGAAGATGCCATTCAAATCAAGACCTACAGAACGAGAGGAAAGCCTGCCATTTGCAGAGCTGGAGAGAGGCACAGTAGCACCAGAAGCAGCATTGGCAAAGGTCCTGGGGCAGAGAAGAACTCGGTGTGGTATCATCATTTTGTTCTTTTCTGTCCGTTGGCTTCATCGTCCTCTCTTACCTGACTAGCTACTTCTACTGCTCTACCTGCTGGCCTGTGACCAGGATGGTAGCCTCAGGCTTTGTGACCTCCCAGCTCAGCCCAAGGCTAGCTTAGCCAGTAGCCCAGTGTCCTGATTTTGATTTCTGGGAGTATGCAGGTGTCACCCAGATCTACTTGGATTGGGGGTTCCTGCTTCCAGCCACTTAGGTCAGGGGTCAGCAAACCACAGCCCATGGGCATGGGCCTCTGCCTATTTTCATGAATGAAGTTTTCGTGAATGGAGCCCATGTCTGTCACTGCTTTTGCACTACAATGGCAAGGTTGGACCATTTTGACAGGCTTACAAAGCCTGAACTACTTACTGTGTGGCTTTTTACAGATCCCTGACCTAGGCCAGCTCTTTCAGCACATGCCGTGAGTAAGGGAAGCTTTTCTCTAGAAAGGGCTCTGTCAGGGAGGCAGTGACTGGCTTTTTCAGGATATCAAAAACTGGAAACCACCTAAGTCTCCAAGAATAGGAGAAGAGTCAGGTAACTCGAAGGACACCCATACGACCAACTGACAAAACACCATCATTGATAACGTGCCTGAAGGTTCTGTCTACACAGGAGAATGGTTTGAAAGTAAAGAAGGTCGGGTGTCACCTGTATGCACACTCTGGTGTCAGTTGTGACTTGCACGTAGTAAACATTGAATAAGTGCTGAGTGGGTGTGTGAGGGAAATAACTTCCAGTGAGAGAGTTGGAAGGGTCTACTCCAGACTGTCCACGGAGGTGACTGTGCTGTGACTGCTGAGGAAGTTAGTGGGCTCAAGGGATAGTTTACTATTCCATGTACTCATTTCTGTATTGTTGGAGCTGAGCTCAATTGGAAATTTTAAAAAGTCATAAAAAACTTGAAATACAGGGAGAAAGGTGTCTGAACATTTAGAGACCAAGGGCACTGATATCTGCGACTTTGAAACATGAAAAATAAAGTAGATGGATCAATGGATAGATACACAGTAAAGCAAAGCATTAATTGCAGGTGGTGCGTATGTAGGTGTTTGCTGAACTGTTATAACTCTTCTATATATGTTGAAATCTTCATTAAAAAAGTATGGGCGGGGAGAAGATAGGGAGAAAATGAGAGTGTCAAACCATGGAAAAGGGTTTTAATAAGTAAAAAGTGGAAGTCAGTCTTCACAATTCAGTATTTTGTAGTATTTTCCTATGGTTGTGCAACCGTCACTACTCTCTAATTCTAGACTATTTTCATCCCCCTCAAAGGGAAACCCAGTACCCATTAAGCATTTCCTTCCCATTCCTCCTTCACGCAGCCTTGGGCAACCATTGATCTCCTTTCTGTCTCTATGGATTTGCCTGTTCTGGGTATTTCATGTTGATGGAATCATACAGTATATGGCTTTTTGTGTCTGGCCTCCTGCATTCAGCATAATGTCTTCTAGACTCTTCCATGTTGTAGTGTTTATCAGTATTTCATTCCTTTCTGTGGCTGAATAATAGTCCATTCTATGGATATGCCACAGTTTGTTTATCTGCTCATCAGTTGATGGATATTTGCAGTGTTTCCATTTTGAATAATGCTGATATAAACATCTGTGTACAAGTTTTTGTGCAGACTTAAGTTTTCAGTTCTCTGGTATATAACCAGGAGTGGAATTGCTGGGTCATATGGTAACTATATTTATCCTTTCGTGGAACTGCCAGACTATTTTCCAAAGTAGCTGCAGTAATTTTCATTCCTATCAGCAGGGTATGAGGGGTCCAGTTTCCCCACATCCTTGCCAATACTTGCTATTGTCAGTTTTTTTGATTATAGCCATCCTAGTGGATGTGAAGGTTGATTTGCATTTCCCCAATGGTTAATGACATTGAGCTTTCATGTGTTCATTGGCCATTTGTATATCTTCTTTGGTGAAATGTCTTCAGATCCTTTGCCCATTTTTTAGTTAGGTTATTACTGAATTGTAGTTCTTTTTATGTTTTGGATACCAGTCCCTTATCGGATATATGATTTGCAAGTACTTCCTCCCATTCGGTGGATTGTCTTTTCAGTTTTGTTTTTTTTGTTGTTTTTTTTGTTTTTTTTCTGGTACATGGGCTTCTCACTGCTGTGGCCTCTCCCGTCGCGGAGCACAGGCTCCGGACGCGCAGGCTCAGCAGCCATGGCTCACGGGCCCAGCCGCTCCGCGACATGCGGGATCCTCCCGAACCAGGGCACAAACCCGCGTCCCCTGCATCAGCAGGCGGACCCTCAACCACTGCGCCACCAGGGAAGCCCATCTTTTCAGTTTTTTGATGGTGTCATTTGAAGTGCAAAATCCTACAATTTTGATTAAGTCCAATGTATCTGTTTCTTCTGTTGCTTGTTCTTTTTGTGTTATAGCTAAGAAGTCATTGCCTAACCCAAGATTATAAGGATTTACACCTAAGTTTTCTTCTAAAAGTTTTATAGTTTTAATAGTAGGTCTGTGATCCACTTTGAGTTAATTTTCGTATATGGTGTGAGGTAGGGATCCAACTTCATTCTCTTGCATGTGGTGACCCAGTTGTTCCTGCCCCATCTGTTGTTATTTTTTCAAATAACCTTTTTATTTTGGAAAGAGTGTAGATGTATAGAAACGTTGCAAAGGTAACACAGAGAGTTCCCATATACAATTGAGCCTTGAACAACACAGGAGTTAGGGGTGCCGACCCACCTCACAGTCGAAAATCTGAGTATAACTTTACAGTTGGCCATCCGTATCTGCAGTCCTGCTTCCATCGATTCAACCAACCTTGGATTGTGTAGTACCACAGTATTTACTATTGAAAAAAATCCACGTATAAGTGGGCTGGCGCTGTTTAAACCTGTGTTGTTCAAGGGCCAACTGTGTATCTTTTTAACAATTCTGTGGTTTTCCCCTGTAGGCCTGTATCATAACCTATTCCCAAACTTCATGAACATTTATACAGTTTCTAGGCCTTTTCTATTCCAGATTTTCTTCAGTTAACAGAGTTATCTCTAATAATCGTTTGTTTACTCAAAGGTCTTTTTATTTATGAAAGTCACCACTGATTTGCAGTGATAGAGAATGGGCTAAAATAAAATGTTACAGATTCATACCAAGTAGATACTTTTTAAAAGAGTTACTTTTTTTTTAAGTGTACAGTTTGGCAGCGGTAAGTGTGTTCACATTGTTGTGTGACAGAGTTACTTACAAAATCAGAAAATGATGTAAAATGATCTTAGTGATAGTAACCAGAAAATATTTCCTGAAAGTGTTTTCAAGGCAACCGCTTCCCATCCTCATGGATGTTTCTGCCCTCTGACTTTTCCAGGCTCTTTGGCTCCTGAGCTCCAGGTACAGAACCGGAAACACACCTTCTCAGAGTGTCTCTTCCTCCATTCCTGACGACTTCAAGAATGTTTCTGACCAGAAAACCGGTGACCTTCCCAGAAAGTCCAAGCTTGTGGTGGGTGGAAAAAATGTTCACCAAGATGAACAGTTTCCCAGCCACGTCACTGTTTTCTTTTCAAAGATATTTTCACTTTGATCTCTGCCTTGAAATGCTGTCTACTTAAAAGAGTTTGAAGAGTGTTTATGTGAGGGACTGTGGTATCTAGATTGTTTAATCAGATCAGAATCCCTCTTCTACCAAACTTTCACCCATCTGGGTATTTATTGGTTTATTTTTAATAACCATCCTTTTTCGGTTCAAATTATACAGATTTTTAAAAATCTTTTGTATCCAGGGATCTGAAGCAGAAAGGTTGGCTTTTAAGTTTGATGTAGCCTCTTACTGGACTGCATTTGTGAGGAATGAACAAGTTCATTGTTGCTGGGTCTGTGTCCAAATTCCTTCCCCATCCCAATGGGCTCTGCTTGGCCACTCCATGCTGCTGAGGTTGTCCCCAGGACTTGAAGGGTGAAGTGTTATGGGTTCCTGTGGAAGAGAGGTGCAGAGCAGTTGGCAGGGCGGATGGCGGTTTTATGAGAAACTTTGCCTTGCCTTGAAGCCCTCTATTAAAGTAACTTTTGGGGCCATTAATTGTATAGTTTTTAGAATGAGAGTGATTTATGTGGTGATATTGGGACCCAGTTCTGAAAGCTTGGGTTTTGGGGTCTGCTTTTCAAGTGGATGATTTCAAGGTTGAAAAACAAGCCTCATTGGAGGAAATACAGCATTTTGCATAGAAGCTTCTTTGAAAGGGATTCCTGGTTTAATCGCCAACATGACCACTTGGGTGGTCAGTGCCTGGATCCTACAGGTGTTTGATTTGTTTGTTGTGGTTTTTGAAATCCTAACTTGCAGGTAACCTGGTAGGAGGAAAGAATAAATATGCAGGCTCTTAGAACTAAAGAGCATTGAAAATAAAGCTCATTTCTAAAAAGGACCTTTTGTTTATACATTTTTTAACCAAGAAGTCCTTTGTAAATTTTTTTTATTTTTGATACTTTCATCAGGTTTTTTTTTAAATTATTGAATATAGTTGATTTAAAATGTTGTATTAATTTCTACTGTAGAAGTTAACTGTCAATTTGAGTTGTTTCAAATTACACTTTGGGAAACACCTAGGATTCATTTATTGTGGAGGCTGTCAAAAAGTCAGAAAAGAGGCAATGTTAGATACTCCTTTTCAGTTTTTGTTCAATAAATGTTGGGCAGGAATTGGGCAAATACGATTTTGGGCTGCACCTGGAAGAATCGAACGAGTTAGTGATAATGGTGGGATTTTGCTAGGCCAGGGTCAAGTCCACTTGTCTTGCTGCTCAGCTAATTCATTCTACTTCATAGCTTCTGTAATTTATTCCCTTGTCAAATCTGGGCCGAGTATCACCCCGTGGTTTGTAAGTAGCAGGGAACAGGGCTGCTGAATCAAGCTTCTCGCAGGTCGGTGTTCTTGTCAGCAGGAATGGACGTGCCAAGATCTTGGCTGGTCAGTCCTCAAGCCATATGAATGATGTGAGGAAACCTCCCTGCCTTATTCAGACCGGCGCTGAGGTTTCAATGAGGTGAGGCATTTGTGTGTCGTGGGGATGAATCGAGCTCGGAGGAGAGAATGCTGTCATTGAGATTTTGTTTCAATAGTTGTATTTTTCACCAGAGAACTATTTTCTCATTGTTCAGTTCTTATAAGCAGTGGAGCTGTGGGGGATGCACATCAAAGGCTGTTGTACATTTTTAAAGTGGCAACTCATGGGTGTGCATCTTTAGGAGGCTTTTCAAGAACCCACACTGGCACCAAAGGTTACCCAAGTTTGAATTTTGAGTACCTAGGGTCCCACAGCTTGTAAGTGCTCATGTTCTGGGTCAGTTAGATGTGGGTTCAAATCCCATCTCTGCTTCTTGCTCATGGGGCCTTGGCTGGTTATTTCTCCTCTCTAAGCCTCAGTTTCCACATCTTTAAAATGGGCCTGAAAGTCAAACCTACTGGTGTTATTAAAAGGTTCAGTGAACTTGAAGGTGAGCCAGGTGCTTGACTGGGTGGCGCCCAGTAAGCACTCAGTACCTATGGGTGTCCTCACTGCCCGAATTTTCTCTCTTCTTGCCTACATTCATTCAAGCAGTCCACACACAGACAGTTAAAGGAGCAATCACATCATTTTAAAAAATTGGAAACAATTTCCAGCATGGAAAACCTTTTCCTGTCTTCCCATTCCTTTTCTAGCATTTTTCTTATACATATTGGTATATTCGACATAGTTCCAACAGTGGTAAGGCAGTTTGGGTTCTGCTGTTTTCTTTTTTTTTTTTTTAAGTTAAAATATAGTTGATTTACAATGTTTCAGGTGTACAGCAAAGTGATTCTGTTATACATATATATATATATATTCTTTTTCCTATTCTTTTCCATTATAGGTTATTACAAGGTATTGAATGTAGTTCCCTGTGCTATACAGTAGATCCTTGTTGTTTATCTATTTTATGTATAGTAGTGTGTATCTGTTAATCCCAAACTCCTAATTTATTCCTTTCCCCTTTGGTAACCATAATTTTTTTTTCCATGTCTGTGAGTCTCTGCTGTTTTCATTTTGACATCATTTCCTTCATATTTTCTGGGCTGCCAGAGAGGCTTCATGGGTCTCATTTTTAACTATCGTGCAGCATCAATAAATCTCATTTTAACCTTGGCCCTCTCATATGTACTTTGAACTTGTACTTTATCCGCTGTTATAAATGCCACTGCGGTCACCATTGTTGTGACCTTTGCTGGCTTCCCTCACTGGTACTTCCCAGAGTACCTGGGAAGGCTACATCGTCATGTACTACCACTGTAGCTTTAGTGGCTTTTGTTTATTTTGTTTTAAAGTTTCTTACTACCAATGCATGTTCATTGTAGAAAAATTATGAAGTCCAGCTTTGCTGTAAGGGAAAAAATCACCCGTAATCACTTTTCCCCAGAGAGCATCACTCTGGGTACACATTCCTCTGGCTCTTTCTCTATGCATGTGCACTGGATATGGTAGATACCTTTTCTCTATCCAGATGGTATCTTTGTATCTTCTGGCCTGCTCTTCTCACCTGATAATATGAGCACACTTCTGTATTTTTACCATTCTTAATAATTGCAAATAAGCCATTGTAAGGACATACCATAATTAATTTAACTAGTCCCCAGCTGATGGAGACTTGAGTTATCTCTAGTGTTTGTCTATTATAAATAACACAGCAATGAACACCTCAGTGTATCATCCCTAATGGCTTTTGGGGGTCACTTTAAAAGAAGAGAGTCATACTCAATATCTTGTAATAACCTATAATGGAAAGGAATCTGAAAAATCTATATATAGTATATATTTATGTATTACTGAATCACTTTGTGGTACACTTGAAACTAACACAACATTGTAAATTATATTTCAAAAAAACTGATACAAAAAAACAGTCCACCTTAAAAAAAAGAAAGGATGGTAAAATGACTAAACTTATTAAAGAAACTTGCATTTAAAAAAAAAAGAGAAATCCACGTTGACAGCTTTAGGCTAAGAACCCCCAGCCCCCAAAAACACATCTTTGACAACTTACTTCTTTGTCTTTATTTACTTAATGTTCATTCGTTCCTATGTATGTATGTTTATGCATACATACATACGTACATACATCTCAAAGACCTTGGTTCTAAGTCCCTATCATCTTTGACTAGGAGCGATGTCCCAGCCACTTAAGTAGATTAACTTTGCTTAATCTGTGAGTAAGGATGAGGTTTTCAGCTCCACCCAGATAACTGTTTCTTTATGCAAGCAACAGCAGTTAACATCACACCAGCTGGCTTTCCACCTTGGCCTTGGTAGTTAAGGATCTTAACCACCATCTAAGTAATAAATAAATGCCCACTATTGCTCATCCTGGAGAATGTTACATAGAGTTGCTGCCAAGGTGAGAAGCCACACGTGGAGAACAAAAAGAAAATAGAAATTTGCAGCACAAGCCCTGGATGCAAACTTCGGGGTTCATATTGGATATACCCCCTTTTGCTTAGTCCATGCTTGCCGTGTTGAGGAGTGAACCCCGTCTCCTTTTTCTAGGTTTCTTGTTGCACTTCAGTTCCAGATGCTCTAGAGCAGAACTCGGAAACTATGGCCTGCCAGCCAAGTCTGGCCCACTGCTTGTTTATCGGTACCCAGCCACACCCCTTTGGGTATGTGCTCTGTACGGTTGCTTTGGCTGCTTTCCTGCTACGGTGGTAGAGTCGCGACAGAGACTGGCCCACATAGCTGAAAATACTGGCAGTCTGGCCCATTTACAGAACAAATTCGCCGACCCCTGAGCGAAGGGATGATGGAGGGTCTCAAGGTGCCCCTTCCTCCCAAAGCCACTCAGGTGAAATAGTCTGCATGCTTTGTGGTCTGGATTTTAATAAAGACATGTACAAACTTGCTGAAAATGGAGCTGGCCATTTTCAAGTGATGTGGTTAACAGAGCAAACCCAATTTTACTTCTCTGGATAGTTAGGGGAGAAATCTCTCCGGGCTCCCTGGGATTCCTCTTAAGTAGCAGTGAGAGATGTGATAATGAGATTGGCTCTCCTCTGAAGTGGTTAGATTAGAAAAGTCAACGAGGCATTTCCTTTTCGTGTCAACCATTTTTATTATCTCCTTCTTAACCAAATTTGAGATTATGAAATATTTGACAAACCATCAGGAAAACCTGATGTTTTCCCGCATTGATGAAAGACAAGTGCTGTTTGTGTATAAAGCAAAAGGCATGCTATTGGGCTTCCCTGGTGGCGCAGTGGTTGAGAGTCCGCCTGCCGATGCGGGGGACGCGGGTTCGTGCCCCGGTCTGGGAAGATCCCACACGCCGCGGAGCGGCTGGGCCCGTGAGCCATGGCCGCTGAGCCTGCACGTCTGGAGCCTGTGCTCCACAACGGGAGAGGCCACAACAGTGAGAGGCCCGCGTACCACAAAAAAAAAAAAAAAAAAAAGGCATGCTATTAAAAAAAAAAGGTGTTTCTTTTTTTTGGGGGGTTTGTTTTCACCATTCCCTTGATTTTCATTATGCAGAGGAAGGCACTTTATCCCATTCAAGGCCCTTTCTGGCACTTGAGAGTTCCTAGAAATGAGTTTGGTAATAACAGGTGTGCCTGGATAAGAAAGTGGGCAAAGGGATCTGTAGCATTGAATTGAATTTGGAAATTCAAAGTCCACATTTTTCAGTAAGAAAATGGCAAGGGCTCATCATCGTCTGGCTCTGTGGCTTTCTTTTTGGCCAGTTGGGTGGTTTTGGATTAGACCAGGGATTAGCAAGCTGCTGCCCACATCTGGCTCCCTGCCTGTCTTTTTACTGCCCACCACCTGTCTCTTCATGGCCCAGAAGGCAGAATGGTATGTTTTTAAACGGTTGAAAAACAAATCAAGATGAAAATGGAAGGAAATTCACGTTTCTTTGTCCATACAGTTTTATGGGAACTCTGTCACACCCATTTGTTTGTGTATCGTCAGTGGCTGCTTTCAAGCTGCAAGGACAGACTTGAGTCCTTGGGACAGAGACCATCTCACCCACAAAACTGTGAACGTGTTGACTGGCTGACTTTTCGTGGAAAGATTGCCAACCCCTGGACTAGACGATTAAAAAAAAAAGACATCTTATGGGTGGATCATATTCATCTGTGTTTAGTTTGCATTACTGTGGCTGTTAGTGGTACATATGGGCCACAAGGATATATGTGTGTGTGTATACACACACACACACACACACACACACACACACACATACATAGAGAGAGAGACTGTGCTTGGGGAGTTTGTAGAAGTTATTTTAGGGGGAGTAAAGCTTGGGTGCATCTAATTAGAGTTTATTATGTGAATCAGGGAAAAAAGTGGAAAAGAGGGTTGTGGCGGAAAGCAAGATGGAGGTCTGCCTCAGACCTGGTATCTGTCACTTACAGAGTGT